ATTCATAACATATACATGATGTATGTTGCATAATTTTTTGCAGATTTCTGTACTGAACCAAGAAAAAGTTCAAAATTTAAAGAAACAAAAACCTAGAACAAGTTAGACTTCGTTTTTAAATGTGCTTTTTTAGACAAATTTGTCGAATAGATACAGAGTACGAATACTTACGAGACTGATCTCTATGATCTTTCAAGGATCAACGTTTTCCGAGTATTAAAATTGGACACGCACGAACCGACATTCGTCACCTTTTTTAACGAGCGTGTTCACCTTTTTTCATCGCGATGCTCGCGATACGTGGCACTTACCACCGCGTGTCAATGTTTTCGTTGTCGGCATTCGTACCCTGTCCGCGTCATGGCTGTCCGTTTTTTGCCCCCGGTTCGGGGACGAATGATTAATTATCGCGGCGACCTCTCATCTCGAGAGCGGCGGTGATCTCTCAGTAGGTCGATGCAAAAAGGAAGCGCGAACGCGATCTTCATTGGAACTGCGTTGCTTCCTGGTGTCGCGAATCGATCGTAATTGTTTGGTCGAGATGAACGAAGTCTGTTCTTAAAAAGTTCTTAAAAAGAAAAGTTACGCGTTTACGTTCGAAACGACACATACGCATCGTACCAACGAATCGGAAACGTTATTCGCCCCTTGAACCTGCTATACAAGAATCAAATATCGTTTCACCCTGGGACAGATTGGGTCCGCGAGTGCCAATTAAAAAAACTTGATAACTTTGCAAATATCGTCCTGCCACAAACAACGAGTAGTCGCGCGCGTCGCGTCATCTTTGATAAAACGAAATAAAACTTACTTTTTTCATTGTTAATTTCGCGTCTCGTCGCGGTCGTGAAATATCGCGAATATTCGGTTCGAAAAGCGTTCGGTGTGCAAGCGACGCGCTCTCCGTTCGGCGAGATTTGATTAAAATTGAATCGCCAGAAATCGCGGTGTTTTTAAATTAATTCGAGCAGAGGGAAGCGCGCCGAGGATAGGGACGCGTCCCTGCGTCATTAATTTGACAAACGGCCAAGCGCCACTGTAAATGTCCTAACGTTCTACGTACGCCGTACGAGAAGCGTGTGCCACTCTGTTAATTGACGCTTAATTGGCTGTAATTAAGTTAACTTCGCGAGCACGTGGCCGCAGACTCCACGGAGATTGGCCGCGCGCAAACAACGCAGTTCGAGCGATCGTTTAGACGGATCGAAACAGTCCACGACGATGGACGACGTGGACCTTTGTGTCTCCTTAATTGGATCACGCAGAAATGACTGACAGACTCCATCGACACTTTTGATACTTAATACGATATGCATTTCCCGCGTTTAATTTAAAGATTGCATGTGATTGTCTACGCAGAGAATTTATATCGTGCATCGCTTCGACAGACCATACGTGTAGGATTTGGGATCGATCGAGTATTTGAATAAGTAAAAGAAAAAATGAAACAAAAGATGTTGTTTGTTTGGCGTTTATTAACAGAAATAAACAGATACGGACTTTAAACCTGTTTTTTCGTCGTTATTAGTTAGTCGTCGATATAAAAGATACAAAAATAGAAACAGAAGATGACGCGATTGCGAAGCTCTCAGGGGTTGTAGCGGAGTTTTTTGAAGGTACAGTACGGGCTTAGCAACCCCGAGGTACCCGAGCTAGACAGATGAGAAGTAAGAGATATACTGCAAACAGTATTAAAACAATGCAGGAGTCATGTAAGACGCATGCGCGTGTCGAATGAGGAAATATTCAAATATAAACAAATAGAGAGAGAGAGTGGTAGTGAAATAGCTTTGTCAATTATAAAAAGCTGATCATTTTATTAAACTACTGAACAGAACTGACTGACGCGATATGCGACACCTCGCGAAACCGCCCGAAAAGTGTCCGATCCATCGATCATTCGGCGCGTTTCTACCGATCGAAACGTAACGTAACTTCCCTTCATACATTCGCGAGTTATTAGCGAGATGCGAGACTGTAAAGATCAGCGTAGACGCCAGCTCGGGAACATAGTTGCCAATTGAAATGCAAAGGTTGAAGCGAAGTACAATAGTCCCTCTTGGTGAATTTTTTTTTGCATTCTATACGAAGCCTCTCTATTGAATTCCCCGACATTGTTGCAATTTCCATCCTGTTCGTCGAGGACGGAACGGAATCTGTGGTGAATGCAAATAGCCGAGTATTAGTTGCGTCCACGCGAGTTAAAAACGCATCTTCGCGGTGGCAACGAACTCGTCGGGTTCTCGTGCAGGCACGAACGTCCATCGATCACCGGCCCGTCCGAAAACTCGGTTAATCGAGCCTATCGAGCATTATGGCTGGCACGTGAAATTCGCGCGAGCCGGCGCACGCGTCTCGGTCAACACGCGCACCATCGATCAAGGATACCCGAACGAAGAAGGATACGCGGGGACCTCGAGTCAGGGTCACTCGAGAATGTGGCGACCTAACCTCAAATCCCTGACAGGTAATTCACCTCCACCTTGAATTCCGGCGTCCCGTGCGTATATGTAATCACCTGTCGCTGACGGAGACTGACCTTCTGCACACTTTCGCCCGTTTCACTTCGCCGTGAAGCGAATACATTTGCATCTCGTCTCCTTCCAATATATTTTTCTTCTCCTTTTTCTTCCACTTCGGTCGCCGTTTCTTTTTCTTTTCTTTTTCGTTCTTTCTTTCTTTTTTCTTTTTTTTTTTTTTACTTCTTTTCCACCTCTCTCTTTCTTCGCCTGTTCGACAAAAGACGGGATGTTCGACGTCCTTGGAAACCCGCCGGCTCTCTCACGGCGCATAGCGGCACGGAATAATCCCTTGTCCTTGCGCGCGTGCTGCGTTCGTTTTTAGATCGACTCGCGGCTTTTCAATTTTTGCAGGTCACCGCGTTCGCGCGCTGGTTACGCATCTCCGCGAATCGCGGTTAGGTCTGGGTCCTTCCAGCCCAAAATCGGACACTGGATAGGCCACCATCGAACAATACCGTTCGGGTATTACTCTGGTGTAAAACCTTGTGCTAGTCGTGTTTAGCAAAGCAGGCATAGGTTTAAAAAATTGTAGAAATAGGTTTTTTTTTTTATAGAAACAATTTCTTGTGGGTACCTTCTTGTCTTCTATTAAAGCTCCCAAAGGCTCATTCTCTGTTAGTTCGAGAGCTATCATTTTTGAAAACAAATGGAGCAATGATTTTCAGACCCTTTTTCTCAAGATCTGAAAGTGGCAATCGTTGCATTCCAACATATAATCTCTGTGAAATCTAGAATTTTTAAAATGTGCGATACTGTTCGATAGTACCTTGCAAAATGTCAATACTTAACACAGTCATGCATCCAAAAATGGAGCACTGATTGTCATCATCATATAATCCCTGTAAAATCTAGAATTTTTGAAATTTTGCTATACTGTTCGGTAGTACCTTGCAAAATGTCAATTGTCAATACTTGACGCAGTCATGCATCAAGAAATGGAGCACTGATTGTCATCATCACATAATCCCTGTAAAATCTAGAATTTTTGAAATTTTGTAGAAACAGGTTTTTTTTTAATAGAAACAATTTCTTATGGGTACCTTCATGTCTTCTATTAAAACTCCCAAAGGCTCATTCTCTGTTAGTTCGAGAGCTATCATTTTTTAAAACAAATGGAGCAATGATTTTCAGACCCTTGTCATCAAGATCTGAAAGTGGCAATCGTTGCATTCCAACATATAATCCCTGTGAAATCTAGAATTTTTAAAATGTGCGATACTGTTCGATAGTACCTTGCAAAATGTCAATACTTAGCACAGTCATGCATCCAAAAATGGAGCACTGATTGTCATCATCACATAATCCCTGTAAAATCTAGAATTTTTGAAATTTTGTAGAAACAGATTTTTTTTTAATAGAAACAATTTTTTGTGGGTACCTTCATGTCTTCTATTAAAGCTCCCAAAGGCTCATTCTCTGTTAGTTCGAGAGCTATCATTTTTGAAAACAAATGGAGCACTGATTTTCGTCATCAAATAATCCCTGTAAAATCTAGAATTTTTGAAATTTTGCTATACTGTTCGGTAGTACCTTGCAAAATGTCAATTGTTAATACTTGACGCAGTCATGCATCGAAAAATGGAGCACTGATTGTCATCATCATATAATCCCTGTAAAATCTAGAATTTTTGAAATTTGCGATACAGTTCGGTAGTACCTTGCAAAATGTCAATCGTCAATGCTTGACACAGTTATGCATGATGCTTTGATGGATCGAGGAATATTAGGAGGTGTTAGTTACGCGCCGGCATAGCTCTGAAGTTCGATACGGGGATTTTTTACCCTTTGCGATGGCATTTACTCTAGGTCTTAAAAAGAGGCATTTCCAGCGATTCTTTCCAAAGAAACTCTGGTCTGAATTATTCTCAATCTTCCATTCCATTTTATTAAGCAATGAAACAAGTGAAAACTGTTCTCACGACGTCATTAACACGAAGCACCGAAAAAATACAGCTTCAAGGATTAAACACGTCGGATCCCTCGTGCCAGCGATAAAGATCGATAGGGGTTGGTCGCGAATCTGAGCAACAAAATCGTTCGGTATCCAATACGTTGCCCCACCCGGCGAAAATAAATCGAATTCCCTGTTAGAATTGAATTTTTATAAACTTTATTTTCTACAGGATTACAACATATATAAGAATGTTAGAGGAAAGGTGTCCGAAATTCACGAGGGTCGTCGCTTTCTGTTCCTGCTAGGACCCCAGCCGTCTTTCTGCTTCAAGGAAAAACAGACCCTTTTCCTCGAGATCTGAAAGTGGCAATCGTTGCATTCCAACATTCCCGCTGGATAATGTTGCTCCATCGTCTGTCATCCAGTCGGGTGTACCCTCCCCGGCGTCGTCGGGGTTCCCGTAATTGGCAGAAAATACGTCGTTTTGTTTTCGGGCCCGCGCCGTCTAGAAGTATAAAAATTCGGCCGGTTTCTCGAGATGTAGATGCGTTCTCGGAAGCGGGTTGGGCCTTGCCCGTGGAGCCAGGTGAACGACGGGGAGGGACGGCAAGGGGAACGGGGAGGAGGACACGGTTGGAGGAGAGGAGAGAGAGAGAACCGCGGAGGACGAGCTCGATCCTGATGTAAAACCCGGCCAAGTTTTGTCCGGCGTCGCTGGCGGGAATAGCATTGTCCCGTGGCGCAAAAGTTCACGTCGCACCCGACGGGGCAACTATTGTCCTTTGTTGCGCCGTTGCTTCTCCCAGTCTCCTTCTTTTCCCTCCTCTGGCTCCAGTTGCTGCCGTTGCTGCCGCGACTGCCTCCACCTCGTACCGAACCCTCTCCCCCTGTCCTTTTCTGGCGTCCTGCGGTGTCTGCTCGCGCTTGTTTGTTTCCACGTGCTTTAACGAATTCCGACCTTCGACGGAGACGTAACGCTGTTACGTCGCTCGATTCTGGCTATTTCGCGATTGATCCGCTCTCCGTGCGCCACCTCGAAAAACCCTGATACTCCAAGATCTCGGAAACTAGTAAAATTCAGGCATCGTCGATGTCTCGCGAACTTTGTCATCAGTTTCCTTGGTCTTCCTATTCGCCTATGCTCGTTTCCTTGACACTTCTGAAAGTGTTGGATCTTCGATCGTCATCTCGGAGGATACTGTTTATCTTGGATCGAGGGATCGGTTTCTGCAAAATCATGTTCGATGCCAAGACAGCCGGACTCCTTGATTCCGTGGAGCTGCTTTGCCATTCTAATGCCAGCGAGCAGGAATATTCTATGCGAGATTGGCGTCGGGTTACGAAAGGTTTACGGACGAAATTTTAGAACGCGAGTGGCAAAGTCGACGTCGATAGTTGTCGCGACACCGTGCATAAACTCGCTGTATTTTTAGGCGAGGCTCGATATCGAACTCTGACATGGATCGCCCATGACCACAACCATGAACGATTCGATCTTCCTTGAGATCGAGACTCACTCAGTAGAGACCCGTACCGAATAGTAGTTAAGTCTAGAAAATCGCGAGAGTATCGTGAAATTTGTTGGTCGAGAAGAAAATGTAAACGACGTTGAGAAGGATCGGAAAAGCTGGGAAGGATTGGAATTGTTTACCAGGAGAGAATAGCACCGGTAGCTGCATAGAAATAAACTAGAAACCGGTGAAGATGTCAGAGGAATTACGATAGCCGCGACAGACCTGCAATTATGCGAGCGATCGTAGGAGAGATAATCGATGATTTTAATTTGTAGCTCGTCCCATTAAGTCCCGCGGATTTACATAAACCTGTGATTAATGCACCGTACGCGCTCGCACGGTTGCGAAAACCCAGCGTCTCGGCGTCGCGTTAGTATCGTACTCGCGGCTACCTGTACTCCGACGGATCGCGACGCTATCAGTTTAGTTGCTGGTTTAGTATGTTATAGTGCGAACTTTTCGGATACTTTCCACTCTGCACTTTTCTGGTACCTATCTTACCAAGGTCTTTCTTATTTTTCTTCCAATATAAATCTTCTGCCATATGCTTTTCGATGTTTTATATTCGTTAGCGTTGTCAGCCTAACCTAGGTTCTCGCAGCGTACTAGTCGACCACGCACTGCTCTACCAAAATGTTCTTACCGCGAAATTCGAGACAGTTCCAACGGGTTCGATGTCGTCGAGGAAAATATGGAAAATCGTTAAAAGAAACATGGAACGGTGAAGGTAGCAGCGAGGCGGCGATGAAATGGTCCACGTTCCCGGGATCCTCGACTCTGATCTGCCCGGGACAAATATTGTCCTCCTTTCCGGTTTTTCTGTCGCTCGTTGCAATATTTTACCTCCAACGGTTGGAGCGATGGTAGATAGCGCGACAGTTCAGCATCGAACGCATGAAAATACTTGAAAGCGGTTATCGAGGGAGGAAACCGTATTAGCAGATCAAATATTAACTGTTCTTCGTGTTTCTTTTTTTTTTTCTAGAGACAAATTTAAATTCTGTTGTAACTGTGAGAGTCTAGTACGGTTCGAAGTTCATTTGGTAATTTTTTCCAAGTATTACCATGTTCCAAGTGGAAGCTGCCAGTAGTAGAAGTACACGCAATTGAAGTTACATGTACAGTTGGGTTTCCAGCGAATGTTTATAACGAACGTTGATCTAGGTCGCGGGTTCGAATCCCGCTCGCCGAGCATCTTTTTTAATTGGTTTCATTTACAACAGCAACAAAGGTGTGTCTGACGAATGGAAGCCATAGGTGCATCGAATGAATATACTCGGCTGCGATAACTCAAACGTACCTAGTATTACAGTGTCCTAAACCCTTGGACACGTTATCGAGTATCGCTCATTTTTTAAATCGATGTAGTATCGCGTGTTCAGTGAGCCTGCGAACAAGTTCGTTTCGGAGGAGGATGGATTCTCTCCTTGTTAATCCAGAACAAATTCGCGTACGGTTTTTTCCCGTTCGGAGCGTCCTGAGACAAAAACGGGAGATTCGTGAGCCGCTAGGTACGGATGATCGAATGATCCGGCAGCGTCGGAAGACCTAGTTCGCCCTTATCGTTGGTCGGTTCTGGTACAGTGCTCGGTGAACCGTGTGCACGTTCGCGTGCGCGTTTTTTCCTCGCGGCGGCCGAGGACCCAGCGTTTTTTTGTCTCGTTTTTCCCCGCCGCTCGGACCGATTCCGCGTCAATAGCATCGCTGCTCGTTAATACATTGTCCGACAATAGTTTCGCCGCGGCTTTTCGCCGTGCACCACCTCCTCCGTCCTCTGCTCGTCCCCCCTCCCTAGGTCCACCCCCTCCTCTCCTCGGCCTCCACCTTCTTCGTTTCCCACCTCGTCGTCCGCCCGCTGCTCCCCCTCGTCCTCCTCCTCCTCCTCCTCCTCCTCCTCCCCCTCCTCCTCCTCCCCCCCCCCCTCCTCGCTGCCCTTTCTCTTGCCTCACCTACACTGAGCGAGCACGCGCGCTCGCGCTCGCGCTCGTTCCTGTCCCGGTACATGTGTTATATCACGTTATGTACGGCATCGTGTTGGTCCAACGTATCTATGGCCTATGTATACATGCGTTATTCCTGGTACATGCACACGGTGACTCACCTAACAGCGGAACCTGAAATATTTTCTAAAATGTCGATCTTCATTCACCGGCTCGATCGTCGTTCGCCATCCACCGGGGGAGTTTTAATCATTTTCGAAAACGTTTCTAGCCGGACGATACGACGCTCTTTACAATTTTCACGGTACTTTACGC